TTTGCTGCCCACATTTCCCTCTTCCCTTCTGCCTTCTTCACTTGCCCCTTTTGAGTGTGCCACCATCTCTTCCAACCAGATCCTGGCTGATACAATTACTGTTATAGTTCGTTCTAGAAGGTGCTTGTAGCCAGTTATCTCAACTCGGAGGGTGCCATGGGGCCGAGGATATGGATGTGACCCGGTTGGGTTGGTCCATCACTGATGGACTCGAGGCCAGTCATTGGTGCACTTAGCTTTCTCCCCTGAGTGCCAAGTTAGTTGAGTGTCTCTACAGCTATAATCTGACAATTCTCGTGCGTGGAGCCTTCTCTGCACACACTCTGTCTATGAGGTGATGTACTCGAGTCTTTTCCTACATCCAAACCTGTGAGGTGTGAGTTCACATCTCTCACCTTCTACAGATGAGAGAGCTGAGGTCCAGAGAGTTGCCATAGTTTCCTCAAGGTCACGAGGCCACTCTGGGGAAGAGAGTAGGGTTTAGATTGAGATCTTAATCAAAGCTGGTAGGCTTTTCAGTGGGACACGCGGCCTCAGACTACCTGAGTGCACACATCTTAGTACGGATGGAAAAATGCGCTGCTGCTGGGTCAGTTCTATAAATACCATTGATAAAGGACATTAGATGGTGGCAGCAGCTTGGCAGAGGGAGAACCATGTGGAAAGGCTTGGGGCCAAAAGGGGTCTTTTCTAGGCAAGGCATTCCCCTGGGCTGCATGGTGTTTGTGATGTCTGTAGATTGCTCTGATAGACAGTATTCTGGGTGACCCATCCTCATGTGAACACGTCTTCCTTAGGAGATTTGGCAGGCTCCGTTGCCCAAAATGATCTATTTCTTGAGATGAACCTGTCGGCGCCCTGGCTGGCACCTGACCTCGGGCACTGAGAGGTTCTGGTTTCTTTCAAAATTTCGCCTCCCACATGCTCAGCGTCCAGGAATGTGAGTCGCTCTGTTTATCGTCTCAGATCTTAGTGCCTGGTGGTTATGATGCAGTGATGTGAGACCTTCAGGCCTCAAAACACTATTTATTTCTCAAGAAGCCCTTCTCCTTTCCCCTTCCCTGCCCTCCCTTCTCTTCCTGTCTTCTTTTCTCTTTTTTCCTTTTCTTTCTCTAACCTCCTCATGCCTAACCGCTATAATGCTGCTGTGGCATTATGCCCTAACTTTCTCATTGAACTCTTCAAATAGCCTTCATTCTTGTCAGTATTTTGTTCTTTGGTCTACACCCTTAAACATTTAAACAAGGAAACTGCAGAATTGCCCAGACTCACACAAATCATTTTGACTTAACTGTCAAAACGCTGACCAAAAATAAGGTCTGGTCAATATCTATTGACTGCTTATAATGTGGAAATCACCTTCCAGATCAGCCCCATCCAATAGAATACACTCAGAGGTACAAACGCACATCACAGATGTAATTTTAAAATTTCTAGTAGCCACATTAAAGAAGTAAAAAGAAACTGGTGAAATTAATTTTAACAATATAATTTATTAACCTAATATTTTCAAATGATCATTTCCGTATGTAATTTTTACATTCTTTTTTTTTTTTTGATATTTTACTTTTTTTGGCATTAAGTATTTGCCTGAGAAAATCTTTATTTCTCCTGTGCTCTTGAAGGATAATTTTGCAGGGTAGAGAAATCTAGGTTGTTCAGTTTTTTCTTTTAACACTTTAAATATTTTGCTTCTCTCTCTTCTTGCTTTCTGGGAAGTCAGATGTCATTCTTACCTTTACTCCTCTTTAAGGAAGGTGTTTTTCCCCTCTGGCCTCTTACAGGATTTTTTTTCTTCATCTTTGATTTTTTTTTTCCATTTTAAATATGATATGTCATGGTGATGGGGTTTTGCATTTATCTTGTTTGGTGTTCTCTGAGCTTCCTGGATTTGTGATTTGGTGTCTGACATTAATTTGGGGGAAATTCTCAATCATTATTGCTTCAAATACTTCTCTGTTCCTTTCTCTCTTTATTCTCCTTCTGGGTATTCCCATGGTGTGTCTATTGCACCTTTTGGATAGTTGTCTCATAAGTTCTTGCATATCCTGCTGTGTCGTCTTTTCTTTTTTTTCCAATCTTTGTTCTGTTTTTCCATTTTGGGCAGTTTCTATTGGGATAGCCTTAAGCTCAAAGATTTTTTTTTTTTTTTTTTTTTTTTTGAGACAGAGTCTTGCTCTGTCGCCCAGGCTGGAGTGCAGTGGCGTGATCTCGGCTCACTGCAAGCTCTGCCTCCCGGGTTCAAGCCTCAGTCTCCTGAGTAGCTGGGACCACAAGTACCTATCACCATGCCTGGCTAATTTTTTCTATGTTTTAGTAGAGACGGGGTTTCACCCTGTTAGCCAGGATGGTCTCGATCTCCTGACCTCGTGATCCACCCGTCTTGGCCTCCCAAAGTGCTGGGATTATAGGCATGAGCCACCGCACCCGGCCAAAGATTCTTTCCTCAGTTGTATCCAGTCTACTAATAAGCCCATCAAAGGCATTCTTCATTTGTTAGTGTTTTTCATCTCTACGATTTCTTTTTCTTTCTTAGAATTTCCATCTTTCTGTGTACACTGCCCATCTGTTCTTGAGTGCTGTCTATTTTACCTGTTACAGTTCTTAGCATATTAATCATAGTGTTTTACATTCCTGGGCTGGTAATTCCAACATCCCTGCCACATCAGAGTCTGGTTCTGGTGTTTGCTCTGTTTCTTCAAACTGTGCTTTTCACCTTTGAGTATGCCTTGTAATTTGTTCTTGGTAACCAGACGTGATGTACTGGGTAAAAGGAACTGCTATAAATGGGTTGTTAGCCGTGTGGTGGTGAGGTGTGGGGAGAGGGGAAGTGTGCTAGAGCCCTTTGAGATTCTAGGTCCCAGTCTGAGTGAGCCTGGGCCTCTGGACTGTGAACTTCACAAGTGCCTCTCAGTTTCTCTATCCTCCCCCTCCCACCTTAGGTGGGACAAGATGGCTGGAGAGGGCTGGAGTTGAGTATTTCCCTTCTTCCAGTTAGGTATGGGGCTCTGATAAAAGCTCCAAAGGTTAGGCTCTGGTTAGTTTTTCCTGAGGGCAGACTTTGTTAGGAAGAACAGAAAGCTCTGGCTTACACCAAAATGGTTACTTCCCCCTCCCCCTGCTGGAAGCATGAAACAATTTTTCTCTGCTATTCACTGTAAGCACCCACTTGCACTCCTGGATGGAAACCTCACCGAAGGGTGGGGATACCCCTATGACGGAGTCCCCCTGGAGTTTCTGACTGTCAGACTTGTCTACACTGAGCCTCCAGCAGTTCATTAACTACAGCTTAAGGTTACTTGTTCAGCATTGGTTTCCACGGAGCTTTCTGCTCAGGAGTCTCTGCTCCGGTAAGTTGTGATTCGTTTTTTTCTTTTGTTTTGTTTTATTTTTGTTTTTGTTTTTTTGAGATGGAGTCTCACACTGTCGCCCAGGCTGGAGTGCAATGGTGCGATCTCGGCTCACTGCATCCTCCGCCTCCCAGGTTCAAGTGATTCTCAAGCCTCAGCCTTCTGAGTAGCTGGGATTACAGGCATGCGCCACCACGCCCAGCTGATTTTTGTATTTTTAGTAGAGATGGGGTTTTGCTGTGTTGGCCACGTTGGCCTCAAACTTCTGACCTCAAGTGATCCGCCCACCTTGACCTCCCAAAGTGCTGGGATTACTGATTCTATCTCCCTGTCTCTCCAATTTTAGCGGCAGTGATTTGCTCTGTGACCTCACTTCTCTTATGGATCTAAGAAGGGTTGTTGATTTTGCACTTTATTCAGCTTTTTACTTGTTAAAAGGAAGTGACCACTTCAAGCTCTTTACATACTGAACTGGAAAGTGTACTAAGTCTTTGAAACTTGGTGTGTGTTTAAAATTAGGTGATATATTACCCTTTGTATTTTTTTTGGTACTGTGTCTTTGAAATTTGGTGTGTATGTTACAGGATATGTTGATTAGAACAAGCCACCTGTTCATTAGCCACAAGTGGCTTGTGACTTCTATACTGAACAAAATAGTATTAGGTTGGTGCAGAAGTAATTGTGGATATTGCCAATGAAAGTGGCAAAACTGCAGTTACTTTTGCACCAACCTAACAGCTCTAAATGGAAGAGTGTTTGCCTGAGAATTGGGTGATTAACTGTTATCTCAGGCATAAATCAACTTCCCACCTGAGGGTAACTAACTTTTTTACAATATTAGAAATGCAGTCCAAATACCCTAGGTGAGTTAATTCACTATGTGGTAAAGATCAGCCAGTAGGCATTTACCTCATGTTTATCAGTCCTAGGTAAAGCAGTTCCTTCTTATCACAGGGTTGCTTGATATTTAAATTAGGGGCCATTTCCTCCAAGACCCTGATTTTTTTTTTTTTCTCTTGTTATTAAATTACTTCTGCAAATGTGGGTGTGGAGCTTGCCAGAATTTTTTGGTATTTCTCTGTGTCCAGTTGCTCACTGATGCGTCTTGCTTTTGTCCCCAACAGCAGGGCAAACTCAACCCGGGACAAATGAGACTTCCAACTCTTGGCCAGGTGCAGTGGCTCACGCCTGTAATCATAGCACTCTGGGAGGTGGAGGCAGGCAGATCACTTGAGGTCAGGAGTTCGAGACTAGGCTGGCCAACATGGAGAAACCCCATCTCTACTAAAAATTCAAAAATTAGCTGGGCGTGGTGGCGCACGCCTGTAATCCCAGCTACTCAGGAGGCTGAGGCGGGAGGATCGCTTGAACCTGGGAGGCGGAAGTTGCAGTGAGCCGAGATCGCACCACTGTACTCCAGCCTGGGCGACAGAGTGAGACTCCATCTCAAAAAAACAAAAAGGCTTTTCAGCTCTCTAATACTCCAATTTAGTGGCAGGTCTTCTCAGAGAAGTAAGCTAAATGGATATTGTCAGACTCCTGCCAGCAGAGACCTTCTACATTTCTGAGATCAGGGAAAAAGGGAACGTGTTCTCGCCCTGCTCCTCCAACATACTTTAGCCCGTGGAGCAGAGTGGCCACATTTCTTACCTGAGATTGCTGGTGCTTCTGGTAGAACTCAATCATGTTAAAGTCACCCAGGTCAACCAGCAGGCCTTGCTTACACATCTCACAGGTCTTCACGGCACCAAGATCTGCTCCTTAAATTAGATAAAAGAATTATCTGTACATATAACCATGGGTCTGTTTGTGTTAGCACTTTGGACGGGTGATACTTGGAGAGTGAACTTGTGTGTGTTAGGAATTCTGAGCTTGAGTGACCTTCCTTTAAAGCCAGCCATCTTCTGTAGAACATGACCTTGAATCTGAGAGCTGAAAAATTTCCTTTGTAGTCATCTATTATGCAAGCTTCATAGAAGTGAAATTCCCATGACTTTTAAATAGCAGATCCTGCTTTCTATTTAAATATAAACATGATGGTTCATAAACTTGGAATTGCTGCAGCGAGGCTAAGAGTCTGTAACACAGGTGTTTGTAAAAAGAGTGAATATTCGGCTTTTTTTTTTTTCTTGCAGACCCAACACAGGTCCAAGTAAATAAATTAGTGAGGACCAAAATAGATGGTAGAAGCTATTCTCGATCAATGGCTTAAAAATCTGCCTTTGCTCCTGCCCAGGTAACATTCCCACCTGAGAACAGTGAGGGAGCGAGGGGCCAGGTGTGGGCGCTAGTTACAGGAGTACCTGCGGCCAGCTCATCAACCTGAGCTCAGACTCATCTGGGAAAAGAAATATGAGAAGACTTCCTTTGTTGCTGTTTTTATGAAAACAGGCATTCTACATCAGCGTTTTTATCCTACTCCCCAAAGCGAAAGTGGAAGATGCAGAACTGGGCTGTTATGTCTAAGCAAACATTCTGTCAGACAGGTCTTTTGTCCCCCCTTAGTTGCGGCTTTTGACTAATGATGTACTGGTGTTTATTTTATGCATTAGAAAATAGAAGACCTATTAGTTAGCTGCATGTGTTTGGTAAAAATAGGGCTTGTGCAGTTTCATACCCCCATTCTATTTCCCCACTGGGGATATAAAGAAACAGTAAAAAATAGAGACTTTCAAAGGGCAGGGATGAACAGTAAGTAATCCCTTATCTGCATTTTGTTTGCTTGACTTTTTTTTTTTTTTTTTTTTTTTAGCATCATTCAGTAACGCTTTAGGCTACCGAATGTCCCATGTGTCTTCCGATCGAATCCTACTGAACACATCCATACAAGCATTGACATTTATGAGCATAGCAGCATTTTCATGACATGTTTCATGGGTAACTTTTTCTGTGTTAGATGTTAATTGGCCCAAATTTCTAGGAAGATAAAGGATTGCATGGCAGAGTTGTTAACCAAAATCCACTCATTTCTTCCCTCTCTGAAGGACTGAATACTCTGCTCATTATATGGATATGCATTTAAGCTTCTCGATCAGTGGACTCACATTTCTTATGCTAGGGAAGTTGCATAAAATGGGCTGCATGGATGAGACAGTAATATGATTACCCCACGTGTTCGTTCTGATTCCATGGTGTGCTGTTCTTGGCGAGGGGGCGTGGCAACATCTCATGAGGATAGAATAAAGCTCTAAGTCTCACTGCAGCCTGGAATAGTGACTGCTAAGGAGAAGGATATGGAAGACGGGGAGAAATAGGATCTGGCTGTGGGGTGATACGTTTTCAGAGAGGTGTGTCTGAAAGAAGTCACAGCTATTTTCTGATCAACTTGCTCTTCGCACTGACGTTCCATGCTTTTTTTTTTTTTTTTTTTTTTTTTTTTTTTTTTTTTTTGGTTGATCTCATTCCTAAAGCCATGCTTTAAAGAAATCTTCTGTTCTCTGCCCGGAAAACTACAGCTGACCTACCGATGTGGTTGTATTTAGGTTATAACCTGCTCAGGGAGTTGAGAAGGGGCTGCACACCCAGTTATAAGACGCTAGGGAACTGACAAAATCCGCACGTGGGAATTTATCTCATATGGTTCTAGACAATCAGATCAACGCTCTTATCCCTATTGCTAAAAGGCAGCTTTGTTTAGTTTCTTAGGTGACCCCCAAATAAAAGGAAGTAGCATGCGTATGCTGGGGGTCTCTCATGAGGGACCTTCTGAAGTATTTTGCTGGGCGTCTGCTAGCTGGGCATGGCTACTGTGTGTCTGCTGACCTTCCACCACTGACCCACTTCTTCTATTTCCTTCCTCCTGAGAGGCGATCTTAGCATCTCTGCTCAAGCCTCAAGCAGAGGTAGAATTCAATAGTATTTGTTTCCAGAAGTATTTTCTCAGATTAAAAAAAATAACAAAAAACAAACAAATAAAAAAACACAACTCCCTCCCATAAAGACAGTTTTTATGAGCAAGAATCCGGAGCTCAGCCACGTGTCCCTGAGTCGCTGTTCTGCGGAGGGGAGTGAGCAGATGACAAGGCTCCGAGGCCCACACCGTGGTGCCTCGTGTTAATTACATGTCGTGGCACGTTCGCTGCACTTCCTTCCCCACCTACCTGATGTTATTTTCACTTTTAGCCACTTTTTCAGGCACTCTTGATGAACAAACCGCAGGCTTCCCACACAGCCACAAGGCTCCAGGAGGGGGTTGCTTGGGGAACCCCCGGCTATCTGACAGATGCGGCACAAGTCTCCCTCCTCCTCGGAGTCCTCCTCCAGGAGACTAAATGGAAAATAAGCCCTCGTGACCAGGAGGCTACATGTTTACAGTTTCTACAAATACCAGTTCCCAGGGCATTGGCAGTAAAGGAAGAGGGCTCCTGGCACTCACCCACTGCCCCCTCTGACCCTACTGAGATGGTTTTTAATAATAAAGGCACAAATTCTCTTTTTTGTTTTGAAACAGAGTCTCACTCTGTTGCCCAGGCCGGAGTACAGTGGCACAATCTTGGCCCACGGCAGCCTCAACCTCCTCAGGCTCAGGTGATCCTCCCACTTCAGCCTCCCAAGAAGCTGGGATGACAGGTGCATGCCACCACACCTGGCTATTTTAAAAATTATTTTGTAGAGATGTAGTCTCACTGTGTTGCCCAGACTGGTCTTGAACTCCTGGGCTGAAGTGATCCACATGCCTTGGCCTCCCAAAGTGCTGGGATTCTAGGTGTGAGCCACTGGGCCTGGCCGAGGCACAGATTCTTGTAACAGGCTTCTTTGCAATTGTTGGTACGTGTGAGCTGACCTGGAAGACCAGCACGGCCACCATAAATCAAGAGGTAAAGGGATATGGCTACAGAATCATTTCCAAACTGCAGTCAAGGCCATGAGCCCCTCTTCCTGCCATAGGAAGTTGGTGGGGGTGGCATACTGGTGAGTGCATAGGATTCGTGGTCAGGGGGCCTGGGTTTGAGGCCAGCCTCTGAAACTTGTCAGTTGTGTGACGTTGGATAAGTTCCTTAATCTTCCCAAGACCCTGTCTCCTGTACAATGTACACTGGGGGTCTGTACAATGAGGGTCATGGTGATAACACCACTGCCACCTGCTTCCCAGGGTTGTGGCCAGGCTGGCTGTGCGTGATGATGAGGAACCTTTTCTGCAAACTGTAAAGTACATCTAGTGTCTGGCAAGGTGTTGCACACAGAGTTCACTTAATAGATGTTGGTTTAGGTGAATGATGAACCAATAAACCTGGACACAAGCTCCCAAATAACACTACACATGCCAACAAATGATGTCAGCATTCCAGAATGTAAGCAGCTGGAATCTGATGAAGATAAGAACTAATGAAAATGTAAGTAAAGATATTTGTGTCTAATAAATGGTGAGTGAAGAATAGCTGGTCGATGTTTATGTTGGGAGGTTTTAAGAAGCCTAAGGCTATTTTCTTTTGAGTCCTCGTGGGACTGGGGGCCATCTGGTCAAGGGAAAGAAACTGGCTAGAGACTAAAATCAAAAGAGGAAGAAACGGACATTGCTCTGGATGTAGAAATATATGCTCAGTTTCTTGAAAGACCTTTTTCCCTATGAAAGAGCAGCTCAGTGTAAAGGAGCAGAATTATAGTTTTCCATTATGGACATTCTCAATAACTTAGACATTTTCACCATTTAGACTTTAATACATTTCAACATAGTTTCCATATTTTCATAAGGAATTAGGAAGAACATGTGTACATGGGAGTGAGTGCTCCAACTGGTGAAGATAAACTAGAGGGAGACCTTGAAAGTTTGAGAAGGTAGGCAGAAAAGTGGTAGAAGATTTGTTGTTGTTGTTGTTGTTGTTTGTTTTGAGATGGAGTCTCGCTCTGTCACCCAGGCTGGAGTGCAGTGGTTCAATCTCAGCTCATTGCAACCTCTGCCGGCTTCAAGCGATTCTCCTGCCTCAGCCTCCTGAGTAGCTGGGATTACAGGCATGCACCACTATACCAGGCTAATTTTTGTATTTTTAGTAGAGATAGGGTTTCACCATTTTGGCCAGGCTGGTCTCGAACCCTTGACCTCAGGTGATCCGCCTGCCTTGGTCTCTCAAAGTGCTGGGATTATAGGCATGAGCCACAGCACCTGACCTAGAAGATTTTTAATTTGGGCAAGTACGAGGGATTTGCATTTGGAAACAAGTGCTCTAAATCAGTGGTTTCCAATAGAAAATAAATGACCATCGGGTTCACCGGTAGAGATTTTACAGATTCCTGGGCTCCACCCTTAGAGGTTCTGGTTCAGTATCTGGGGTCCAGAAACCTGAATGTTAAGATGGTCATGCAGGTCCGAAGATCACTGATCTCAACAGGAGGAGGAAGGGTTCTATGGTGAACTTGTTATGGTTGATAAATATCTGACTCTTAAGGTCCTCCATCTTCTCAAAGGTATAAGTGGGGATCCACTGGCTACCTTACTTTGCAAAAAAAAATTTTTTTAACAAATAAAAGTGGAGACAGAAAAGCACAGAAAAGAAAAGGAGAATCAAAAATAAAATCAATACCCCAAAGTAACTGCTTATTAATAGTTGAGTCTGGCTGGGAACAGTGGCTCACACCTGTAATCCTAGCACTTTGGGAAGCTGAGGCAGGAGGATGGCTTGAGCTCAGGAGTTCAAGCCCAGCCTGGGCAACACAGCGAGACCTTGTCTCAAAAAAAGAAAAGAAAAAAATATCGTTTGGTGTACTAGCCTCTGGTATTACTTCTGTGCACATATTGTTTTACAGAATTGAGACTGCTTTTAGGATTAGCTCAAGATAGCAGGCTAAGCCCCCCCATCAGTCTCCTTTCCCACACAAATCTCTTAAAAAGACAAAAAAAGAAAATTAAATAGAATGAATCCACAATAGTGCTGGAAAACAAGCAGGCCAGAAATAATGAGGAATTCTTGGAAAGTTGATGAAGATATGATGATATTGACTAGAGGAAAGGAAATGGCAAACCAAGGCATTCTCACAGAAGCATCAAGAAGGGAAGGGCAGACCCAGGGAAATTCCAGGCTTGGGCTGCACCAATGCAGGGGATGGGAGGGTACGAACTCAAAAACTGCTTCAGCACGAGGGGACCAGCTGCTGCCCACTTTCAGATACCCTGTGATGCAGGCAGCACAGTGCCTCTCCCAGGGGAACATTCTGTCATTATATTCCAAAGAAAGGGAACTCTCCATAAAGGTCAAAGTTTTTTGTTTTGTTAGAGACAGGTCTCACTCTGATGCCCAGTGGCAATCATAGCTCACTGCAACCTTGAGCTCCTGTGTTCAATTGATCCTCCCACCTCAGCCTCCCAAGTAGCTGTGACCACAGGTGCACGCCACCACACCCAGCTAATTTTTTCTTAGAAACAGGGTCTCCTATGTTGCCAGGACTTGTTTCAAAGTTCTGGCCTCAAGCAATCCTGTGTCAGCCTCCCAAAGTACTGGGACTGTGGGGAGTGAGCCACCGTGCCTGGCCACAGGTCAAAGTTTTTCAAAAAGTTCATGAATGACATTCAATTACACAAAAACCTCCCATTCAGGAAAGTGGATCTCAGAGGAGAAAAAAGCACACAATTGCTGGGGACAGCATGCTGGCCACCTCTCTCTACTAAACCACCCATTCCTTCCTTCATAAAACAACTGGGGGCCACCTGTCACATGTGGAAACCACCAGCATGAATGAGAGGGGACAAGGAAAATAAGTCAGCTGACTCTAGAGGAAATGAATTGTTTAATGAAGGGAGGAGGTAATTCTCAGGAGGATTCAGAGGCTATTGGCAGCTGCTATGTAAAAAGAACAACGAGAGACAAGGAGGATTTCTGGGGATTTAAAAAAATGTGATTAACAAAATAAAAAATTCCAGGTGAAACAATATTAATAGACACAATATAATGCAGGCTAAAAGTCTAAAGCTAGATATTGATCAATCCACCAAGAAGAGATCAGCCATGAGCTTTAATGCACGAAATAAAAGCAAAATTCTTATACATGCAAAGGAGAATGGGCAAATCCAAATCATACTGGGGGATTTTAATCAATCTCTTTTAGAAATTGACAAACTCAATGGAAAAGAATAAAGTATGAAGGGTTTTTTGTTTGTTTGTTTGTTTTTGTGACAGGGTCTCACTCTGTTGTCCAGGCCGGAGTGCAGTGGCAAGATCTTGGCTCACTGCAGCCTCTGCTGCCTCCTGGGCTCACGTGATCCTCCCACCTCAGCCTCTCAAGTAGCCGGGACCACAGGCACATGCCACCACCCCCGGCTATTTTTTTATTTTTATTTTTTGTAGAGACGGGCTTTTGCCATGTTGCCCAGGCTGGTGTCGAATTACTGAGCTCAAGGAATCTGCCCACCTTGGCCTCTCAAAGGGTTGGGATTATAGGTGTGAGCCACTGTGCCTGGCCTGAAGGATTTTAACATATGTATTTTATATATATATGCCAACAAAGAGAGAAGAGGGAATGTACAACCTTTCCTAATGCCATAGCATATTTATAAGTATTGAATATGTATTAGGGCACAAAAAATACAGTTCATATTTTCTGAGATCATAATATAATTAAATTAGGATGGGCAATAAAAAATTTTGAAAAGAGGGTAACAAAGAGATTTTATATATACTTATATATAAATGAGATATATTTATTATAGATAATTATACTAAAATATATTTAATCTATGTGTATATATAGAAATATATATGTATACACATATAAATATATATGTATAAATATATAGATATATATTTTTTTAGAGACAGGTTCTCACTTTGTCACCCAGTCTGAAGTGCAGTGATCATAGCTCACTATAGACTCGACCTCCTGGGCTCAAGGGATCCTCCTGCCTCAGCCTCTAGAGTAGCTGGAACTATAGACATATGTCATTACACCCAGAGAATATATATATTTTTGTAGATATAGGGTATTGCCATGTTGTCCAGGCTGGTCTTGAACTCCTGGCCCCAGGTGATCCTCCCACCTTGGCCTCTCAAAGCACTGGGGTTAATGGCATGAGCCATCATGCCTAGCCATCAGATATTTTTTAAAAACCATAAATCAGCCAGGTGCGGTGGCTCACGCCTGTAATCCCAGCACTTTGGGAGGCCGAGGTGGGCGGCTTATGAAGTCATGGGTTTGAGACCAGCCTGACCAACATGGTGAAACTCCGTCTCTACTAAAAATACAAAAATTATCCGGGTGAGGTGGCACCTGCCCGTAATCCCAGCTACTCAGGAGGCTGAGGCAGGAGAATCGCTTGAACCTGAGTGGTGGAGGTTGCAG